TTTCCATGGTGAAGGTGCCAATCAGAGTCTGTCGCGGGCAGGGACCCAGATGTAGGGGCCGCTCTGCTCCTCAATGACGGCTTTGACCAGGTGGTAGACCTCCTCGAAGCTGTCGCCGTGCACAATGGCTGCGTGCACACACACACACACACACACACACACACACACACACACACTGAGGCTCACGGTTTTTTTTCATTGAATAAATGAATTTAAAAGTAAAATGTTTTTTTACCTGTGAAACACTCGAGGAAGTCTTGCTCCAGCTTCACGGCTCGTTCCAAAGCTTTCCTCGCCTGATCCTCCGACAGACGCTTGTTCAGATCCCTGCACACACACACACACACACACACACACACACACACACACACACACACACACACACATCATCCTCGGTTATACAGGTGTAAGCTGGCATGGCAGTAACGGTGTCGTGACCTCACAGACTCACAGGATGTTCTCCAGGGACCGCGGTCGGATGAAGATGGCGACGGGGTGGAGCTGAGCCGCCTGAAGCCTCCTCACGGCGTTGGCTGACACGTCAAGGATGCAGTGTTTGCCCTGGTGAACACACTCGTTAAAACATCACCACACGTCACTATAGCAACCAAAACATCCCAATATCCCAACAGTGATCGTCACCGTGACAACCAGTCATAGTATGTTTATAATAATGTTTTATGAAACTGCAGAAACCTTGATATCCCAGAATCACCACACAGGCAACGTCGTCAGCGTCGCGTTTTTACAAATATCGCCATAGTAACCAGTCTGTCTCACCTGCTCGGCCACCTGTCTCACGCTCTGCACCGATGTCCCGTACAGGTGGTTATTGTACTGCCCCGCCTCGATGAAGCGATGTGATTGGATGTCCCGCTCCATCTGTTCCCGTGACGACACAAAGTGGTAGTCCCGCCCGTCGACCTCGTAGTCCCTCCGAGGGCGAGTTGTGTCTACAGAGGGAGAGAGTCACACAACTGACTTCCTGTCCGTCGCCTGATGTTTCCTGTCAACACCTGAGGAGGGAAACTTACGAGGGACACATGAGCCGAACTTGTCCGGGAACTCGGACAACAGGTCGTCGTTGACTCTGTCTTTGGTCGGCCCCAGGATGATGACGGGACGAGCGTAGTCCACTAAAGACACAGAGAGAGAGGAAAGTTTACTTCCACCTGCTCTTTATTGTCATCACAACAGAACAACTGTCAACCGCATTAGAAAGTAAGGTCAAAGGTTACGAGTCACACTGACCCTCAATCTGAGTGATGAGCTCGTAGCTGTGAACGAACCCTTCTCTACCTGTAGGGAGAAAAAGACGACAGAAGTTGGCCGGAGATGACTGTGAATTTAAATGTGTACAGAGGAATCAAGGAAATGTAATTAAATTAAACAATTGAAGCAAAATTTCACTTTTACAGAGAAATTAAACATTTGCAAAGGTTTTCAATATATACAGAGGAATTGAAAATGTGCAGGAATATTAAATATTGAATATTAAAGTAAAAAAAATTGCAGAAAATGTGCATGGAAAATGAATAGCGTCAGGGTGAGGTCAGAGGTTAAGGTGGGGTCAGGGGTCAGCTCACCTTTACTCTTCATCCTCGACCACTCCTTCCTCTCGACCCTGAAACAAAAACACATGTTGAGACTCCAGGAGTGACGTCACAACCAGCACCAATCAGACATCAGCGTCTTCACCTGTGTTTGGACGGGACGTATCCCAGCTCCTCCAGCTCCCCCTGCTGGCTCACTCTTCTCGCCTGCCACCACTCGTCATCTGCGCTGTCCATCACGTGAAGAACCTCGCCAAAGTTAAAGTCCAGAGCCTGTGATAGGACGCCACAGTCCCACTGCTTGTCGTAGTCAAACAAGGCCCTGAAACAGCGACGTGTACACAGATGACGGCGAGACATCACATGACCTCTAACTCTAACAGGAAGTATGAATGTGAGCTTCCTGTGACCCGGGACACGTTACCTGATGTAGAAGCTGCGGTTGGCTCTCAGACTCCCAGACGAGCTGTTCATCATCTGCTCCCTCAGGTCATGGATCTTTGCCTCAAAGCGACTGTACTCTGCAGGACACGACATCACCATGGTAACCAAAACGTCCAAGTCACAGCGTCACACAGATCAGTGACTTTTAGTGAACTCACCCTCTGGTCTGTACTGTGCTACTATGGTAACCGTTTGTCCTGCGTTCTTCAGAGCGGCCGCCGCCTGCTCATGTGTCGCATACCTCAGGTCCACGCCGTTCACCTGGACACACACAGACCGTCACCAGAAGATGGCGACGACAGATAATTAAGACACTCAAATGTCCTGAGGTCAAAGACATGATGGGGGATTCAGAGCGAGCACAGTTCAGAGAGAACCGCTGCCACGGTGCTCATTGTCTATGTGCTGCCCCCTGGTTTCTGAGAACCTGTTCTGGAGATCCCGTCTGAGGACCTGGTCTGTGTACTCACACTGAGGACCTGGTCTGTGTACTCACACTGAGGA